TTCCCAGACTTTGCGAGGCCGCGGGGCGCACAGATGGCGCCCCGCCAAGGAGCTCGCAGGCCCCGCGTAATTTCTTTACTTTTTCTTTTCACTTATTGACAGAGAGAGCTTTGTTGTTCCAATGTTGATGCCTCATTGGTTGATTCCTGACTGGAGACCGAACCTACAACCTTGGCGTATCGGGAGGACGCTCTAACCTACGGAGCCACCGGCCAGGGCAGGCCTGGTGTTGTTAACAGGGATGAATCGTGTACAGAATCGGAGCGTCCAAACCTAGTACGGGCCGTGGCTTCACCACTGAGCCAAACCGGTTAGGGCATGGATGCTCATTTTTAAAAGCCATTGCTTTAGCCCAGTGGTCGGCAAACTGCGGCCCCTTGAGTGTGGCTCTTCCACAAAATACCACGTGCAGGTGCGCACGTACAGTGCGATTGAAACTTCGTGGCCACGCTCAAGGGGCCAAAGAGCCGCATGGGGCTCGCGAGCCACAGTTTGCCGACCACTGCTTTAGGGGGATAAGGACACATATGTAATACCTTAATCAATAAAGGAAAATAAAAAAGCCATTGCTTTAACTCAGCAATGAATACTATGGAGGAAAAACAGTGTGTCCTGAGGTCAGGCGACCCGACCTACCCAGAGGAGATCATGGAGGGCTTCTCAATGGAGGGGGCATTTACACCAAGGCCTGAAGGATGAAGAGCTAGAGGGGAAAAAGCCTTCCAGGCACAGGGAACAGTATGGGGAAACAGTGGCCATGAGAGTTAAAGAGAAGGCCAGTGTGGTAGGTGAGGTCGACAAGGCGTCCAGTGGCTGGCTCACCGGGTGGGCTTTGTGCAGAGGGAAATGGGAGGCTGAGGAGGGCTCAGGGTCAAGCAGAGAAGGGAGCTGCTTTGACACCATCGCCCGTCACCTTGAACTTGGGAGCTTAGGAAGTGGAGGCGCTCTGCCATCCAGGGATGGCCAGGGGTGTTCGTGTTCAGGAAAGTCATGGGAAATGCAGAGAGAGAGAGAGAGAGAGAGAGAGAGAGAGAGGAACATCGAGGTGAGAGGCTCCATGCCTTATCTGTGGACTGTACCCATATAGGTGCCTTCCTTCTCAGGCTGGCCTTGGAAAAGAATGTGAATCCCGTAGAGCAGCGGTTCTCCACCTTCCTAATGCCGCGGCCCTTTCATACAGCTCCTCATGTGGTGGGGACCCCCAACCATAACATTATTTTCGTTGCTACTTCATAACTGTCATTTTGCTACTGTTATGAATCGTAATGTAAATATCTGACATGCAGGATGTATTTAGGTGACCCCTGTGAAAGGGTCGTTTGACCCCCAAAGGGGTCGTGAACCACAGGTTGAGAACCGCTGCCCTAAAGCGTTAGTGCCATTCCGTCAGATAAACGTGCTCCAGCCGGTGGAAGTAGGTTGAGCTACCTGAGGGCTCTGAACCGAAGGTTCTAGAACAGAATTCCATGTTCCAGCTTCCTCTGCAGACAGGAGCTGGCCGTTAGGATGAGGTCTGATGAGCCACCGGCTTACAGAAGAGGCGCCCATGGGGGCGGAGGGGAGGCCCCGCCACAGTGGGAAGCCACAGCTGGGAGCAGGCAGGCTCACGGTGCAGGTTTCTTTCCGGACAATGGCCTCCCGGTTGGGAGGAAGGAGGTGCGTGCCATCGGCCAGGGGTGCTTGGAGGGGTGCCATGGCCTCCAGGTGGAAAAAAAAAGTGAAACTAAACTACAAGTTCATTGTGAGCAGGGCGCGTCCCCCCCAGGCCCCCCCCCGCCCCGTGGTAGGTGGAATGATGGCGTCCAAAGATGCCCCTGTCCCAACCCCGAACCTGTGACTACGATGCCTCACATGGCGAAAGGGACTTGCAGATGTAGTGAAGGTCCAAAACCCTGAGATGGGGCGGGTACCCCGAACCCCCCCAGGCCTGAACCCTTAAATGTGGAGAAGCCGTCCCAGCTGGCCCAAAGGGAGGGGCCTGGGGAAGCGTGGGCAGAGGAGGAAGCCAGGCGCTGACTTTAAGGAGGGTGGGGGGATGTGGCAGACTCTAGAAGCCCCAAGGGCAGAGACCTCTTCTCCCCAGCCACCCCCCCCAAAGGAACGCAGCCCTGCTGACACCCCCAGCCTCACCCTGTGAGACCCGAGGGAGCAGGATGTCAGTCACGGCGGAAACCGGTGCGAAGCACGAGGGAACGCTCTGTGCCACCTTGGCAGTGTTTTCTGTAAAGCTAAGCGCTACCCTGAAATTAAAGATTTCTTTAAAAATGCAGATGCCCAGGCCCCGTCCCTGACCATTTAAATTAGAACTTCTGTCTCAGGGGTCAGCGTGGGGCTTCAGAATTCTCTCTCGGTGACTCAGCCCTGCCGCGGTGACAGCCACTTTCTAATGACACAATTAACAGTGACCTTTGCAAACTTAAAAATCCAGAGAAAAATAAAAATGAAAACCCCCCTCCTCCTGTCCCCTAGTGAAGCCCGCTGTGTTTTGGTGAATGGCCTTTCACATTTCCCCCCATGAGATACCTACATTTATTACTGTCCCTGTCGTTGTTACTGTTAAAACACGAAACCGGGGCTCTGAGAGGCAGCCCCATCGCCCCAGGGCCTTTGAGCTCACCTGCCTCCTGCATCCTTTGTCTTCAGGGAGGAGGCGAGCCCCGCCCAGGGGAGAAGCCGGAGTGGCTGGTATTGAAAGGCTCAAACCCAGCAGACAGGTGTGCCTTGGCAATGCCGCCTGCTGATGAGTGGGCCCGGCAGGCCTCCAGCTGTCACAGGCCACTAAAGAGGAGCCACCTGTGTCCCCCCACTCCTGCTTCCTCTCCCACGCTAGGACACCAGACACAAGCCAAGCCCCTCACAGCTGGCCTGCTGGTTCCCTCTAGGGTTCCCTCTCAGCCCCCTGGGGCCATAATCATCACCTGTCACTAAATATTGAATACTGCGGATCTTGGTGTGGCCCCGTTGGTCCCCACCTGGCGCCTCTTGTAAGAGCGACACCTGCAAGCCACACGCCCTGGAAAGGCAGGACGAGGAGAGTTGCCAGTGCCGCAGTTGGGGTGTCACCCTGGCTCTCCTAGTCCTTGCAGTGCGACCTCAGGAGAGCTGCCTGGCCTCTCGGTATCTCATTTGCAAAACGAAGGGCAGGAAACTCACAGTTTGGAAGAAGGTTTATTTATTTAAAATGTATTTAATTTGAGAGAGAGAGAGAGAGATAAAGAGAGAGAGAGAGGAACATCAATTTGTTGTTCCTCTTATTTATGCGTCTGTTGGTTGATTCTTATCTGAGCCCTGAATGGGGATCTGCCCTGCAACCTTGGTGTGCGGGGAGGACCTTCTAACCCCTGAGCTACCCGGCCAGGGTACCACACTGCAGCCAGGAAATCAGAGAAGTTAATAAGGGCCTGGAGAAGTTAAAGGGAGAAAACAATGGAGAGAATGGGAAAATGAAGGAAAAGGAATTTGTGGATATTTTTCATTATCTTTTAAATGGAATAAATAATACGCATAGCACAGGTGAGTCATAAAATATACTAATAGAATGAACACTCTTGAACCTACAACCAATCTAAGACAGTAGAAAGTTACCATAACACAGGGAAGGAAGGGGGGACAGATGTAATACCTTCAACAATAAAGAATTATTAAAAAAAGAAAGGAAGGCCCTGGCTGGTTTGGCTCAGTGGATAAGAGCGTTGGCCTGCGGACGGAAGGGCCCCAGGTTCGATTCTGGCCAAGGGCATGTACCTGGGTTGCGGGCATATCCCCAGTAGGAGATGTGCAGGAGGCAGCTGATCGATGTTTCTCTCTCATCGATGTTTCTGGCTCTCTATCCCTCTCCCTTCCTCTCTGTAAAAAATCAATAAAATATATTTAAAAAATAAAAAAAATAAAAGAGCGTTGGCCTGCGGACGGAAGGGCCCCAGGTTCGATTCTGGCCAAGGGCACATGCCTAGGTTGCGGGCTCAATCCCCAGTGGGGGGCGTGCCGGAGGCTGCTGATCAATGATTCTCTCTCATCATTGATGTTTCTATCTCTCTCTCCCTCTCCCTTCCTCTCTGAAATCAATAAAAATATTTTTTTTAACATTTTTTGCAACATTTGCTATACTTATTTTTTTTAAAATACATTTTATTGATTTTTTACAGAGAAGAAGGGAGAGGGATAGAGAGTTAGAAACATCGATGAGAGAGAAACATCGATCAGCTGCCTCCTGCACGCCCCTTACTGGGGATGTGCCCGCAACCCAGGTACATGCCCTTGACCGGAATCGAACCTGGGACCCTTCAGTCCGCAGGCCGACGCTCTATCCACTGAGCCAAACCGGTTCTGGCCAATAAAAACATTTTTAAAAAAGAAAGAAAGTTACCATAACAGGTCCATTTACACCAGGAGCTGCACCTGGAATGCACGGGGAGCTTAGGCGACCACTATCCCTCAGAGCGCTTGATGGGATTTGCCTGGAGTTTGGTGTGGGTATTTGAATTTTGGGGTTTTTTAGGGCACCTGCATTTGTTGTTCTTATTCATCCTCACCCGAGGATATTTTTCCATTGCATTTTAGAGAGAGTGGGAGGGAGAGGGAGAGACAGAGAGAAACATCAATGTGAGAGAGACACAGCGATTCGTTGCCTCCCGCACATGCCCCGACCAGGGGGAGGATGGAGCCTGCAACTGAGGTACGTGCCCTTGACAGAATCGAACCCGGGACCCTTCTGAAGGTCCGTGGGCTGCTGCTCTATCCACTGAGCAAACCGGCTGGGGCTGGGGCATCTGCCTTTCTAAGACCTCCCAGGGCATCCGTGTGCAGTCAGGTCTGAGAACCCCTGGCAGCCAGGGCCTAGCTTATATTCGCCTCCCTTCGTACCCCGTCTCCCCACCCTCCCCTTGGTCTCCCCAGGTCACCACCCTCCTTCCTCCCGGTTCCCAGGACCAGCGACGCTTGCGATGACCTCCCGCCCGCCACGAGGCGGCGCCAGAGAAAAACGCGGCCGCCGGGAGGCCGGACGGCGCCGGGGCCGCTTGGCCCTCGCGGGGCCCCGTCGCGGCGCGGCGTCCGAGCAACGAGCGGGGAAACGGCTGCCGGGCTGCGCGGCCGGAGGGTGGCGGCGGGTCGGCTGGGCCTGCGGGCGCTCGGACGCGGGGACTCCCCGGGAACGGCGGGCGCGGAGAAACGTGAGTCGGAGCGTGGGCTCGGCCGGGAGCCGGCGTGGGGTCGGACCCGCCGTGGCCGAGCGCGCGGCCGAGCGCCGGCGGCAACCCCGCGGGCACCCGGGACGCGAGCGCGGGGCGCCCCGAGACCGGCATCCGCGCTCCCTGCTCCCGCCGCGCTCGGCGCCCTTTGGTCACGTGTGTGTGTTGAGGCCGAGAGAGGGTGCGGCCGGCTGGGGGGCAGCCCGGCTGGTGGTGGCCGATCCGGACCCGCAACCTCGCTTCTTGGCGCCCGGAGCTCGCGCAGCCAAGGCGAGGAAGGAAGCGTGGAAGCCCGTCCGCCTGCGGCCGGGGATGAGCCCAGGGAGACGGGGATGAGCCCAGGGAGACGGGGATGAGCTCAGGGAGATGGGGATGAGCACAGGGAGACGGGGATGAGCACAGGGAGACGGGGATGAGCACAGGGAGACGGGGATGAGCCCTGCGGTCGGGGATGAGCCCAGGGAGACGGGGATGAGCACAGGGAGACGGGGATGAGCACAGGGAGACGGGGATGAGCCCAGGGAGACGGGGATGAGCCCAGGGAGACGGGGATGAGCCCAGGGAGACGGGGATGAGCCCAGGGAGACGGGGATGAGCACAGGGAGATGGGGATGAGCACAGGGAGACGGGGATGAGCACAGGGAGACGGGGATGAGCCCTGCGGTCGGGGATGAGCCCAGGGAGACGGGGATGAGCCCAGGGAGACGGGGATGAGCACAGGGAGACGGGGATGAGCCCAGGGAGACGGGGATGAGCCCAGGGAGACGGGGATGAGCCCAGGGAGACGGGGATGGGGATGAGCCCAGGGAGACGGGGATGAGCCCAGGGAGACGGGGATGAGCTCAGGGAGACGGGGATGAGCCCTGCGGTCGGGGATGAGCACAGGGAGACGGGGATGAGCACAGGGAGACGGGGATGAGCCCTGCGGTCGGGGATGAGCACAGGGAGACGGGGATGAGCACAGGGAGACGGGGATGAGCCCAGGGAGACGGGGATGAGCCCAGGGAGACGGGGATGAGCACAGGGAGACGGGGATGAGCCCAGGGAGACGGGGATGAGCACAGGGAGACGGGGATGAGCACAGGGAGACGGGGATGAGCACAGGGAGATGGGGATGAGCCCTGCGGTCGGGGATGAGCCCAGGGAGACGGGGATGAGCACAGGGAGACGGGGATGAGCACAGGGAGACGGGGATGAGCACAGGGAGACGGGATGAGCCCAGGGAGACGGGGATGAGCACAGGGAGACGGGGATGAGCACAGGGAGACGGGGATGAGCTCAGGGAGACGGGGATGAGCACAGGGAGACGGGGATGAGCACAGGGAGACGGGGATGAGCACAGGGAGACGGGGATGAGCACAGGGAGACGGGATGAGCCCAGGGAGACGGGGATGAGCCCAGGGATACGGGGATGAGCCCAGGGAGACGGGGATGAGCCCAGGAGACGGGGATGAGCACAGGGAGACGGGGATGAGCCCAGGGAGACGGGGATGAGCACAGGGAGACGGGGATGAGCCCAGGGAGTCGGGGATGAGCCCAGGGAGACGGGGATGAGCCCAGGGAGACGGGGATGAGCCCAGGGAGACGGGGATGAGCACAGGGAGACGGGGATGAGCCTCAGGGAGACGGGGATGAGCCCAGGGAGACGGGATGAGCACAGGGAGACGGGGATGAGCACAGGGAGACGGGGATGAGCACAGGGAGACGGGATGAGCCCAGGGAGACGGGGATGAGCACAGGGAGACGGGGATGAGCACAGGGAGACGGGGATGAGCCAGGGAGACGGGGATGAGCCCAGGGAGACGGGATGAGCACAGGGAGACGGGGATGAGCACAGGGAGACGGGATGAGCACCAGGGAGACGGGGATGAGCACAGGGAGACGGGGATGAGCACAGGGAGACGGGGATGACACAGGGAGACGGGGATGAGCCCAGGGAGACGGGGATGAGCACAGGGAGCGGGGATGAGCACAGGGAGACGGGGATGAGCACAGGGAGACGGGGATGAGCACAGGGAGACGGGGATGAGCACAGGGAGACGGGGATGAGCACAGGGAGACGGGGATGAGCACAGGGAGACGGGGATGAGCACAGGGAGATCGGGGATGAGCCCAGGGAGACGGGGATGAGCCAGGGAGACGGGGATGAGCACAGGGAGACGGGGATGAGCACAGGGAGACGGGGATGAGCACAGGGAGACGGGGATGAGCCCAGGAGACGGGGATGAGCACAGGGAGACGGGGATGAGCCCAGGGAGACGGGGATGAGCCCAGGGAGACGGGGATGAGCACAGGGAGACGGGGATGAGCACAGGGAGACGGGGATGAGCCCAGGGAGACGGGGATGAGCCCAGGGAGACGGGGATGAGCCCAGGGAGACGGGGATGAGCCCAGGGAGACGGGGATGAGCACAGGGAGACGGGATGAGCCCAGGGAGACGGGGATGAGCCCAGGGAGACGGGGATGAGCACAGGGAGACGGGGATGAGCACAGGGAGACGGGGATGAGCACAGGGAGACGGGGATGAGCACAGGGAGACGGGGATGAGCACAGGGAGACGGGGATGAGCACAGGGAGACGGGGATGAGCACAGGGAGACGGGGATGAGCACAGGGAGACGGGGATGAGCACCGGGGAGACGGGGATAGCACAGGGAGACGGGGATAGCACAGGGAGACGGGGGATGAGCCCAGGGAGACGGGGATGAGCACAGGGAGAGACGGGGGATGAGCACAGGGAGACGGGGATGAGCACAGGGAGACGGGGATGAGCCCAGGGAGACGGGGATGAGCCCAGGGACGGGGATGAGCACCAGGGAGACGGGGATGAGCCCAGGGAGACGGGGATGAAGCACAGGGAGACGGGGATGAGCCCAGGGAGACGGGGATGAGCACAGGGAGACGGGGATGAGCACAGGGAGACGGGGATGAGCACAGGGAGACGGGGATGAGCCCAGGGAGACCGGGATGAGCACAGGGAGACGGGGATGAGCACAGGGAGACGGGATGAGCCAGGGAGGAGGGGATGAGCACAGGGAGACGGGGATGAGCACAGGAGACGGGGATGAGCCCATGGAGACGGGGATGAGCCCAGGGAGACGGGGATGAGCACAGGGAGACGGGGATGAGCACAGGGAGACGGGGATGAGCCCAGGGAGACGGGGATGAGCCCAGGGAGACGGGGATGAGCACAGGGAGACGGGGATGAGCCCAGGGAGACGGGGATGAGCCCAGGGAGACGGGGATGAGCACGGGAGACGGGGATGAGCCCCAGGGAGACGGGGATGAGCCCAGGGAGACGGGGATGAGCACAGGGAGACGGGGATGAGCCCAGGAGACGGGGGAATGAGCACAGGGAGACGGGGATGAGCACAGGGAGACGGGATGAGCACAGGAGGGAGATGGGGATGAGCCCTGGGCGGGGATAGCACAGGGAGACGGGATGAGCACAGGGAGACGGGGATGAGCACAGGGATACGGGGATGAGCACAGGGAGACGGGGATGAGCACAGGGAGACGGGGATGAGCACAGGGAGACGGGGATGAGCACAGGGAGACGGGGATGAGCACAGGGAGACGGGGATGAGCCACAGGGAGACGGGGATGAGCACAGGGAGACGGGGATGAGCACAGGGAGACGGGGATGAGCACAGGGAGACGGGGATGAGCACAGGGAGACGGGGATGAGCCCAGGGAGACGGGGATGAGCCCAGGGAGACGGGGATGAGCCAGGAGACGGGGATGAGCACAGGGAGACGGGATGAGCACAGGGAGACGGGGATGAGCCCAGGGAGACGGGGATGAGCCCAGGGAGACGGGGATGAGCCCAGGGAGACGGGGATGAGCCCAGGGAGACGGGGATGAGCACAGGGAGACGGGGATGAGCCCAGGGAGACGGGGATGAGCCCAGGGAGACGGGGATGAGCTCAGGGAGACGGGGATGAGCCCTGCGGTCGGGGATGAGCACAGGGAGACGGGGATGAGCACAGGGAGACGGGGATGAGCACAGGGAGACGGGGATGAGCCCTGCGGTCGGGGATGAGCACAGGGAGACGGGGATGAGCACAGGGAGACGGGGATGAGCCCAGGGAGACGGGGATGAGCCCAGGGAGACGGGGATGAGCCCAGGGAGACGGGGATGAGCCCAGGGAGACGGGGATGAGCACAGGGAGACGGGGATGAGCACAGGGAGACGGGGATGAGCACAGGGAGATGGGGATGAGCCCTGCGGTCGGGGATGAGCCCAGGGAGACGGGGATGAGCACAGGGAGACGGGGATGAGCACAGGGAGACGGGGATGAGCACAGGGAGAAGGGGATGAGCCCAGGGAGACGGGGATGAGCACAGGGAGACGGGGATGAGCACAGGGAGACGGGGATGAGCACAGGGAGACGGGGATGAGCACAGGGAGACGGGGATGAGCACAGGGAGACGGGGATGAGCACAGGGAGACGGGGATGAGCACAGGGAGACGGGGATGAGCACAGGGAGACGGGGGATGAGCACAGGGAGACGGGGATGAGCCCAGGGAGACGGGGATGAGACCGCAGGTCGGGGATGAGCCCAGGGAGACGGGGATGAGCCCAGGGAGACGGGGATGAGCACAGGGAGACGGGGATGAGCCCAGGGAGACGGGGATGAGCACAGGGAGACGGGGATGAGCACAGGGAGACGGGGATGAGCCAGGGAGACGGGGATGAGCCCAGGGAGACGGGGATGAGCACAGGGAGACGGGGATGAGCACAGGGAGATGGGGATGAGCCCTGCGGTCGGGGATGAGCCCAGGGAGACGGGGATGAGCACAGGGAGACGGGGATGAGCACAGGGAGACGGGGATGAGCACAGGGAGAAGGGGATGAGCACAGGGAGACGGGGATGAGCACAGGGAGACGGGGATGAGCCCAGGGAGACGGGGATGAGCACAGGGAGACGGGGATGAGCCCAGGGAGACGGGGATGAGCCCAGGGAGACGGGATGAGCACAGGGAGACGGGGATGAGCACAGGGAGACGGGGATGAGCACAGGGAGATGGGGATGAGCCCTGCGGTCGGGGATGAGCACAGGGAGACGGGGATGAGCACAGGGAGACGGGGATGAGCACAGGGAGACGGGGATGAGCCCAGGGAGACGGGGATGAGCCCAGGGAGACGGGGATGAGCACAGGGAGACGGGGATGAGCACAGGGAGACGGGGATGAGCACAGGGAGACGGGGATGAGCCCAGGGAGACGGGGATGAGCACAGGGAGACGGGGATGAGCACAGGGAGACGGGGATGAGCACAGGGAGACGGGGATGAGCACAGGGAGACGGGGATGAGCACAGGGAGACGGGGATGAGCCCAGGGAGACGGGGATGAGACCGCAGGTCGGGGATGAGCCCAGGGAGACGGGGATGAGCCCAGGGAGACGGGGATGAGCACAGGGAGACGGGGATGAGCCCAGGGAGACGGGGATGAGCCCAGGGAGACGGGATGAGCACAGGGAGACGGGGATGAGCACAGGGAGATGGGGATGAGCCCTGCGGTCGGGGATGAGCCCAGGGAGACGGGGATGAGCACAGGGAGACGGGGATGAGCACAGGGAGACGGGGATGAGCACAGGAGACGGGGATGAGCCCAGGGAGACGGGGATGAGCACAGGGAGACGGGGATGAGCACAGGGAGACGGGGATGAGCACAGGGAGACGGGGATGAGCCCAGGGAGAAGGGGATGAGCACAGGGAGACGGGGATGAGCACAGGGAGACGGGGATGAGCACAGGGAGACGGGGATGAGCACAGGGAGACGGGGATGAGCACAGGGAGACGGGGATGAGCCCAGGGAGACGGGGATGAGACCGCAGGTCGGGGATGAGCCCAGGGAGACGGGGATGAGCCCAGGGAGACGGGGATGAGCACAGGGAGACGGGGATGAGCCCAGGGAGACGGGGATGAGCACAGGGAGACGGGGATGAGCACGGGGAGACGGGGATGAGCACAGGGAGACGGGGATGAGCCCAGGGAGACGGGGATGAGCACAGGGAGACGGGGATGAGCACAGGGAGATGGGGATGAGCCCTGCGGTCGGGGATGAGCCCAGGGAGACGGGGATGAGCACAGGGAGACGGGGATGAGCACAGGGAGACGGGGATGAGCACAGGGAGACGGGGATGAGCACAGGGAGACGGGGATGAGCCCAGGGAGACGGGGATGAGCACAGGGAGACGGGGATGAGCCCAGGGAGACGGGGATGAGCACAGGGAGACGGGGATGAGACCGCAGGTCGGGGATGAGCCCAGGGAGACGGGGATGAGCCCAGGGAGACGGGGATGAGCACAGGGAGACGGGGATGAGCACAGGGAGACGGGGATGAGCCCAGGGAGACGGGGATGAGCCCTGCGGTCGGGGATGAGTCCAGCCGCAGCGGCTCCCTGAGTCCGAGGGTGGCGCGAAGCCAGGCGTGGCTTACTCCGAGGACGGGCCTTAAGCACAGTCCTGGCCGGGCTGCAGACCTGCCCTGGGGCGGCCGCGGGGCCAGGGAAGGTGTCCGAGTGAGACTGCCTCCCAGTCTCCCTGTGGGTCCCCAGGCTGCTCTGTTAACCTCTCTGCGGGTCGCAGTGTCTCCATCAGTGCGATGAGGGGTCTGCCCTCCATGAGAACCCAGAACACTTCCAGGTGTGACACCTGGGCCAGGCCCCTCCCCAGGGCGAGGAAGCCAGGGCTGCTGGTCCCAGCGGGCAGCCTCTTGCAGGCTGGAGCCTGGGCCCTGGTCTCAGACCCACAGGACTTAGTCCTTCTGTTTCCCAGTTCTTTTATTTCCTCTCCCTTGCTTTGTGATCTTGGGAAGTCACTTTATCTCTTCGAACTTAAGTTCCCTCCCTGCCAGTAATGGGTGGCAGTGATGAAAAATGCCGTATATACCGCGAGCTTGGCACATAGACGTGTCCTGTAAGTGACTGCTGCAGTGCTTGTCCGTCTGCAGTGCCCTTGGGGACGTTTGTACCACAGCCGGGTGCAGTTCAGGCTTATTTAAGTCTGGGGTTTGCAGCCCTGAGGGCAGATCATTTAAACACTGCTGATGCCGGGGCCTCCATGAAGACTGGGTTTAATTGGTCTGGAGTGGGGCCTGGGCTCCATCCCGCGATTCCTGTGTGCAGCCAAAGAGTGAGGACCCCTCACTGAGGGATGAGGCCAAGCTCGAGAGGGTTCCTGGGCTGGCAGCAAGCTCATCTCCCTGCCCTGCTGTTCCCAGATGGCACTCCCCACGCTGCCCCCTTCCTGGTGCAGCGGGAGACTCCTGGACGAGCAGGTAGCACGGCAGCGCCACCGAGAGCAGGAGGCCCGGCTTCGGCAGCAGTGGGATGAGAACAGCCGCTACTTCAGGATATCCAACGCCTGCAGCTCCAAACAGGCGGAATGGAGCTCCCAGGCCTCCTACCAGCGGAGGTAACTGGCCACCGAGATTGGACGGAGGTGGGCGGCCACGTGCTGGTCAGGGGATGTCGCCTTAAGAACCTGGCAGAATATGGCTTGGTCGCATGTTTTCTCCAGGGAGTCGCTGGACAGCACAGATTGCCTGCCTGGCGATTTTTTCCAGCTGGAAATTGGAAAAAAGATAATCAGTGAAGCAATACATTTGCACTGAAAGAAACAAAATGATAAGAAATGTATGTGGAGCCCGGCTGGTGTGGCTCAGTGGTTGAGCATCGACCTATGAACCAGGAGGTCACAGGCTCGATGCCCAGGAGGGGTTGTGCAGGAGGCAGCTTATTGGTGATTCTCTCTCATCATTGATGTTTCTCTCTCCCTCTCCCTTCCTTTCTGAAATCAATAAGAAATGTATAAAAATGTTTAAAAAAGGAGAAGAAATTTATGTAGAATCTGGAAGTCACCTTGTAACTCCACTCCCCAGCTTGACTGCATATCCTCCCATACTTTTCCCCATTTGTGTTTGTGTATAAATATATACACACACATGCACCTTATTTGGATAAAAATACTAGAGGCCCAGTGCACGGATTTGTGCAGGGGGGCGGGGGGGGGCTCGTCCTGGCCTGCGGGGAGCCCTCCTCTCCGGTCCTGGTGCAGGTGAAGCAGATTCAGGGCCGACAGTGCCCCAGCAGCAACCTCACCCATGGCTGATTCCGCATGAATCAGGCTCCCTCCTCTGCTGTTTGGAGTGTCTGCCCCCTGGTGGTCATTGTGCGTCATAGGTGAACGGTCGGACAGTCGGTTAGGCTTTTATAAAGAGGGAGATGTAAAAATACGGAAGTTAAAAGCAGAGGCTTCAGAGTCCGACAGGCCTAGATAGAAACCCTGACTGTGTCTCCTGCCTGAGTGAGCCTCCGGTTCCGTCAGGGAAGGGGGCTGAAGCCCTGTAGGATGTATGTGATGAACAGCGTGGTTTTATGGTAACTGCTCAAGTAACATTCGCTAGTTCTGTTACCGTGTGCACATGTAAGCGCATTACACGTTTTCTTTTTGCAAGTACAGGGTTCTGTTCCGCACCTCAGCCTCTTTATCCAGGTCGCCGTGGCCCACATGGCTGACTCTGGTGGCTCCTTCTCACCCAGCATGCACGCCTATCAGCGCGAGAAGATGAAGGAGGAGAAGAGGAGGCAGCTGGCGGCCAGGCGGGAGAGACTCCAGCAGCTGCTGCTCGAGGAGCAGGACCTGCTGGCCAGAGAACTGGAGGAGCTGAGGCTGAGCATGAACTTGAGGGAAAAAAGAATTCGGGAGCAGCACAGGACTCTCAAGTCAGCCCGGGAAGAGCAAAGGAAGCTGGTACGTTCTCACGCCCTCGGCAGCATCCCAGCCGTCGGGGCTGCGCCCGCGGGTCACCTCTGGCCGCTCGGCACGGACGCGATGGCCGTACCTTCAGAGCCAGCAGGGAAGCGCTGCCTCTCAGCTGTTTTCCACGTGGGTGTTTTGCATGAGTCCTTGTTCCCCGTGGCCCTTGAAATCATCCCATCTTAGCTCCTTTTCTTTATTCCAGTTCTGTGGCCCCACGAGGCCTGGGACTGGTGTATTTTCTCTTCCAACGTAGCTGAGTGGCAGGTGAGCCGGGCCGGGTTTAGCTGCTGTGTCGTGGGCAGCAGACCTGCAGCGTCTAGGCCCCACACGTGCCGTCCGGCCTGGCGCCCTCCGTCACCGCCGCCAGAGGCTTTGTCAGCGCCGTCTGGTTCGGCTCGGGTCTGGCTCCCGGAGCCGTGGGTGCCAGGCGGGGGCTCTGAGGGCGGTGCAGTGACAGCTGGCTCCCAGGGTGGGTTATCCGAAACGTGCGTGGATCTGCAAAGCCACCCCAGGCTCCCTCTGTGTTTCCTTGGCAGATTGCTGAGCAGCTTTTGTATGAACACTGGAAAAAGAACAACCCTGTACTTCGAGAGGTGAGAACCGGGCACCCTAAGGGGGTGACATCTCATGTCCTGGCTGGTTTTAGATTGCATCTTGCACTGGGTGGAGGCAGGAGGGAGCACTCCAGCCCTGAGAGGAGCACCAGCAGATCTGGTTCCTTGGTGATTTAACCACTGTCATTGCCCATCTGGTGTGATGTCCACCTGTGCAGCGAGAGGCGGCCCCCCACTCCTCCTGGGGGAGCCAGTGGGCAGCTCGTTACAGTGCAGGGTGCGGGCATCAGGACAGTGCCCCAGCTCAGTGGAGCTCAGACAGGCGTCCCAGCGGAGCCGCTGGTGGAGGCGTTAGAAGGACATGGGTGCTAACTTGCGGGTGCAGAGATGAAGAGAGGACCTTCTGGATTGAGGCACCTGCTTCGTGGGTCCTCCAAAGCCATTTGCTCCGAAAAGCTTATTCAGAACATTTAGTTGCAAATGTCCATATTTGTAAGTTGAGAAAGAAAATTTAAATTTTTATGAACAATTTCCCACATAACGCTTTTGGACAGAGTACTGTATGCAATTCATTTTCTGATCCGAAAGACCCTTTAAACACGACTCTCTTACTAACCACGCAGACGTGTTGCTCTGCTGGAGCTGGCCACATGCATCCACAGCTGCGGCTGTCAGAGGTGCGCAGAAGGCGGGGCTGCGCTGAGCCCTCACCCGCTCCTGCTGCCCGGAGCCCGGGGCTTTAGACCAAGCAGGGGGCCTTTGAGAGGGTGTTTCCATTTCAGTGTCTGCTGGGCTGCTCCTGCTGAACCCCAGGGAGCTGGGAGGAAAGTTGCTGTTACTTTGTTCCAACTCTTGAAATTGGTTTAGAACCCGGGCCCTTTGGTTTTCTTTCTTTTAAAAAACAAAAAAATTTTTTTTTTATTGATTTCAGAGAGAAAGGGAGAGGGAGAGAGATAGAAACATCAATGATGAGAGAGAATCATTTATCAGCTGCCTCCTGCAACCTGGGCATGTGCCCCGACCAGGAATCGAACCGTGACGTCCTGGTTCACAGGTCGACGCTCAACCACTGAGCCACGCCGGCCAGGCTGGTTTTCCAGGTGACCTGCTTTGGGGTCATCCTGTGCTCCCTCCCCAGACACCTGGGCCACGCTTGCGTCCTCACAAAGGAAGTCACGGTCACGTGTCAGTGCAGGCCCGCGCTCCCAGGGAACATCTGCTGGGTGACCCCGAGAGGAAATGAATCATCTCCTTCTTATCCTCAGATTGAGTCGGACCTTCACAAGAAGCACGTGACAAGCTCTTGGGAAACACAGAAAGAAGAAAAAAAGCAGGTGTGGGCTCGGACTCGGGAAACGTCCCACGGGCGATAGTGGAGACTCCCCGTGTCTCAGGGTGTTTGTGGAGCCCTCCCGCGTGCCCGCACTGCGCCGCGTGCTCAGCCTCGTCTCTCGGAAGCGGGCGTCAGTCCACGGCTCCCGTGAGCACGAGCGCAGGGTCACTCCGCGGCGAGTGGCCGCTCAGGTGGGCGCGTGGGGTGAGGACCCCGGCCTGCGGCCGGCTGCACGCTCAGGGGCTGCGTTACGGAGACTGATCGCGATTCACTTGGCCCCACGTAGCAAGAAGCCGTGGAGGAGGAAGAGAACAAACGGTTTGAAAATGAATATGAGACGGCCCGCAGGGAAGCACTGGGACGGATGAAAGCAGAAGAGGAGAGGAGGCAGTTGGAGGATAAACGCCAGGCGGAGGCGCTGCTGCAGCAGATGGAGGAGCTGAAGGTGCAGGAGATGGAGGTGAGGGCACGGCCGCGCCCATGGGGCCTCCTCTCAGTGCTTGTGACAAATGGGCATTTCATGGCTGCTGTGAAGAGCATCCTGGGGAGGCGATTCTCAGAAATGCAGCAACGTGGCTGGCATCTGCGGTTGTCCCTGCTCCTGCGTCGTGCTGTGTGCCACATCCTAGAATGTCAGCCGTGTGGAGATGGCACATGGCTCCCCCTGGCCAGCGGGCTTTGGACTCAAGGCACAAACCATGAGGGTCTTTGGTCTGAAGGCTATTTTGAGAAAGATGTGCAGTTTCCCTGAGGAGGTGGGACCTTCCCACTCAGAGCAGGGAAGCCCCCCGTCCCAGGCCTGAATGAATGGAGAACTAGATCTTAGCGCTCACGACTTATTCTGGGTGCCAAGCTGGGCTGGGTGCTAGCGATACAGCCGTGAGCAAGCCCCACAGACCTGGCCCTCACGGCAGGGGCGTGTCAGGTGAAGGGGCAGATGGTGAGCCACAGTGAGGCGTGGGCAGTACAAGGTCCCGGGGAGCACAGAGCAGGGGCTCCTTGTCCACAGGGTTGGCAACGGCTCTTGTAAGAAATGGCTCATCTGAGTTGGGTGAATGAGTGAGCTAAGCTGCAGCAAGGGGCTCAGCGGTGGAAGGGGCATGATCGCCAGGCGGCAGGCCAGCCTGTTGCCTAGTCTGCTGGGAACGGAGATGAGGAGTGAAGGGAGCTGAGTCTCCTGACCTTCTGGGGTTGCTGTCATCGTAACCACAGGCCACCAAACTGAAGAAGGAGCGGGAGAACCTGCTGAAGCAGCGGTGGGAGCTGGAGCGGCTGGCGGAAGAGAGGAAGCAGATGGCAGCCCTCCGGCAGAAGGCGGAGCTGGGGTGCGTGGAGGGGCTCCGCCCTCAGAGCCTGCCTCTCCCCCCCCTTTCTCTCTCTCTCTCTCTCTCCTCTCTCTCTCTCTCTCTCTCTCTCTCTCTCTCTCTCTCTCTCTCTCTCTCTCTCTCTCTCGGTGTCTCTGAAACAGGAAGGGTGCACCCTGTAGTGAGTAGCTGTCTAACTTCTGTCTAATTCTTGATAAGACATTGATGAAGGGAACCAATATGTTCTTCCTTTTTAGACGTTTTTTGAGACATCAGTATAACGTGCAACTCAACAGACGCGCGCAGCAGATCCAGGAGGAGCTGGTGAGTGGAGAGACCGCCTGGCGTCCTCTCACCTCTGAGAGCCATGTTTCCATTGCTCAGTGAGAAGTGAAACGCAGAGTGAGACCCCGGCCCAGCCCTGCCGTCCCCGCCCTCCGCAGCGGGCTCTGCTGGCACGTGCCCTGTGGGTATGTTTACATACCAGCACACGGAGGGAGGTGGTGGTTTCTAAAACACGCACCCGAAGCCGCGCTCCTCGGCTGTTTACCTGAGGGTAACGCTCCCACTTTGGGATCCGTCTGCTTAGGTCGAGCTTGTTCTGTTTCCCAGCTGCTCAGTGTCCTGTCTCCCTGCCTGCGTGTCCTCCTCCTCCCTGGCAGTGCCCTCCGGGGCAGCGCCCTCCGGCTTCCCCCCGAGGCACCTTTCCCGGCTCCAGGCCCCTGGATTCCTCGTTCCTTCACACCCTTCCGCCATGTACCTAACAGCTGGCCCTACCCGGGTGTTTGCATGTCCGGCTTTCCCCTCTTACGTGAGGGCGGCAGTGAACTTTTGTGCATAAACCTCGGCATGTGTGCGTCTGGAGTCTGTTCTTAGAAGTGGGATTGCTGTCAAACTGTCCGCCAAGGCTGAGCTAGCAGATGTGTCTGAGGGCGGGACCTGCGGGTGGCGGCAGAGGGCTCTCCCTTGAGGCAGAGAACAGCTCCTGGGCCTCCGCGGTGCCGTTTCAACCATCCCAGCCTCTTCCGCCTCCACGTGGAGAGCATCTGGCAGCATCACGAGCGTCTGCACAGGAGAGGGGCTCTGCCAGCGCCCACAGTCCTTCCTCCTTCCCCTCCTCCCTCCAGGAGGCGGACAAGCGCATCCTGCAGGCCCTCCTGGAGGAGGAGGAGGAGGCGCAGCGGGAGCACTCGGCGCGGCGGGAGCAGGCCCGGGCGGACGTGGCGTGGATGCAGCAGGCCCTGGAGCAGCAGCTGCAGCGGGAGCGGGAGCAGGAGGCGGAGCTGCAGGTGCTGCTGAGGTGAGGCAGCTGTGGGCGCGCCCGCCTCTCTGTCCCGGGGTCCCAGCAGGTCTCCCCGGGGGTCTGCTCCTGAAACACCCGTCCTGGGGACTGCCCGTAGCTCCTGAGGAGCGTCTTTGTTAGGACCTGGCTTGTGAGGGTGTTTCCTTTCGGTCACGATGAAGATCCTTAGGGTTAAAGTAAGGCCCTGCTCATCTGAAGTCTTAGCATTTGAAAGGAAATGGTCCTCATGCTGGAGCTGGTGCTGCTGGGGCTGTACAGATGGGTCTGGGTCCTAACAGTGAGCCCAGCAGATTGAAACAAACAGCAGGCAGCATTCCTTGAGCACGTGTGTGCAGATGCCCCGCCCTGTGCAGGTCCGCGGGCCCTGCAGACGTGAGGAAGTCCCTTGTTTGCGCCGGCCCCAGGGCGAGCCGGCCGGGACCCCAGGAGCGCGGCCGCAGCTCAGGCACCGGCAGCTTCATTCGCCTCTGTTGAAGAGGCCCAGGTGCAAGTCATCAGAGAGCCTTTTAGAAAGAGGTGGAGCATTAAAGGTCACTCCAAGGTCTTGCTGGTAGGGACACTCCGTGAGGAGAGGTTTATTTGAGGCTGGCCCACAGCTGTGCCGCCCGGGGCCTCGGAGCCCTGCTTGTCCGTCCGCCATCGGTGGGCGTGAGGAGCTGCTGCCATGGTCTTGTTTCCCCAGGGAGGAAGCCAAGGAGATGTGGGAAAAGAGAGAGGCCGAGTGGGCCCGCGAGAGGAGCGCACGGGACAGGCTGATGGCCGAGGTAATCCCGCTGTGAGGGTGTGGCTGGCGGTGCCAGGCTGGTGTGGGAATTAGGGGCTGAGCCTGCCAGATATTTTGGGGACAGAGTCCTCTCTGGCCATTAAAGAATGTAATATACGCTTGTTAGAAATACTTCAGTGCAGAAAATCACCCAGACCCCTGCCGTCTACACCGCCACTGTTCCTGCTTCCTTCCACACTCCGTCTCGACACAACATGTTTACCTACATGTCTCTTCTTATGCTGTGTGATCTGATTTCAAGCATTCTTAGATGCTATTACATCTTCTTTGTAAATACCATTTTTCAATTTTAATTGTTTAACATATTTTTTTATTGGTTTCAGATAGGAAGGAAGAGAGATAGAAAGAAGGAGAGAGAGATAGGAAGGAGAGAGAGATAGAAACATCAATGATGAGAGAGAATCATTGATTGGCTGCCTCCTGCACACCCCGTATTGGGGATCAAGCCCACAACCCAGGCATGTGCCCTTGACCAGAATCGAACCCGGGACCCTTCAGTCTGCAGGTTGATGCTCTATCCACTGAGCCAAATCGGCTAGGCCTGTAAATATCATTTTGATGGCTGCATAGTATATCATCACATGGGTATACCATAGTTTGTTTTTCCATTCCCCTTGGTGAGTTTCCATTCTTTGTCTAATTTTGAGCCATTATAGGAAACACTGCAGTAAACATCTTCGCGTGTGAAGCTTGTCCGTACCTAGCCTTGTTTTTTTGTGGGTGCGTAATCAAAAGTGGACTAAAGAATGTGTTTTATTTGCCAGCATTTAAATAATGTGTATAAGACACACAGCAGCTAAAAGGAAATCTTTTGGGGGAAAGTCTTCATTTCCCTGTGCTGAGTTACCTTAAAGTGGTTTAAAGGGGGAACTTGAATCGGTTCTCTCGTCTGGGCTTGCCTTCGTCTGGCGAGTTTAGGCTCAGGCTGGGTCTCGGCACAGGTGCAGCGAGCTGCCCACAGCTTGCAGAACAGGTGTCTGCTAAGAGGCAACCCAAAACCTCCCTTTCCTTTCTGCGGAGGCCAGGTCCTGACAGGGAGACAACAGCAAATACAAGAAAAGATTGAACAAAACCGACGGGCGCAAGAGGAATCCCTAAGACACAGGGAGCAACTTATTCAGAACCTGGAGGAGGCAAGAGAGTCAGCTCGTCGAGAGAAAGAGGAGAGTGAGGAACTGAAATCCGCCAGGAAACAGGAGCTGGAAGCCCAGGTGGGCCCCTCACGGCGGGAACAGCCTCAGCGAGGGGATGAGTGCTGCGGCCACAGGGCCTGCGTGGCCCTGCATGGTGGGCCCTGCATGGTGGTGGCACAGGATTCAGGCCCACTTTCATGTCTCTCCTGCTGACTGCAGCTCACGCTCCACTAGGTTCCCCGCCGGTGGAGCGCGTCTGTCATTACTGCCCCGTCTCATTCCTGTCCCACCTGCAACCCTGTCGCTCACTGGGCCACAAGCCTCCATTCCGTTCAGTAACAAAATAATCCCCCAAAGATGGACGTGGCCGCGTCCAGGGCTTCCTACCAGGCGCGCACACGACGCTTCCGCACCACATGCCCCGCCCGCTGTGGGCATGTCCCTCCCTCTCACCTGCTGACTCCAGCGGGGGTAGGTCCACAGCTTCCCTGCTGATCGGAGGCAGGCTCTGCCCCGCGGGCCTGGTCTCCGGTGACTTGCTCTGTGTGTCCAGGTGGCAGAGCGCCAGCGGCAGGCCTGGGAAGCGGACCAGCAGGAGGCGGAGGAGGAGGAGGAGGCGAGGCAGGCGGAGCAGCTCACCAGTGCCCTGCTGCAGCAGGAGGCAAAGATGATGGCCAAGCAGGGATACCGGCCCAAGGTGGGGAGCCTGCGGGGACGGGCCACCACTGCCAAGCCCCTCGGCCTGGCCCCTGCTCTCCAGCCTGTGCACACGCTGTGCGCGGCTCTGCTCCCAGCAGCTGGGAGACCCTTGCTCTCCTCTTGTGTGTTTCCTTTTCGCTACAGTAGGTCACCTTGACGGGGTCTGTTTCTCGACGGGGTCTGTTTCGGTCTTTGGTGGGGCCTCAGACAACCCTGGAGGTGATTTTGCTTTGGCTCCTGTCGTTGCAGCCCAAGGAGGGAGGTCCCGACTGCTAAGCTGTGTCCTGGGACCCTGTTTGGGGACAAATAGCAATCTTGGGAGAGTGTTGGCCACAGCTGGTGAGAGGAGAAGGCTGTGGTTCTGGGCCCTAACTATGCAGACGTGAGAACCCCACCCCCTCGTCGGTCCTCCCCTCCACTCCCCCCCTTTCCCTGCCACTCCAGGACTGAGTGACCCTACCCCCTCTCGGTCCTCCCCTCCTCTCCCCCTTTCCCTGACACTCCAGGACGTCAGTGACCCCTGCTCTGAGGGAGCTCGCTGAGGCCAGCAGGCCGTCACCGCCGCCCCTCCTTTATCAGGGACCCAGGCGCTCTGAGCGCTGCAAGGCAGGCCGGCTCCTTGGAAGCCGATGAAACCATCAGCAGGTACTGCACCTGCTACAGAATGTTAATGTCCTCACCGGCTGGGCGTTTTAAACTTGGTGACCATGGGCCAGTGAGTCTCAGGGTCAGGGTGTCACAGAGCACACCGGAAAATGTGCTCAGGGCTGGTACTTTAAAACGAGCCAGCAAGCGCCTCATCTGTGGCCTGGGGTCAGTGCTGCTTTGGCTGTGAGTGACCGCAGCTGTTTATACCGTGCTTGTAGCTTTTACTGGAAATGGATTAATTCCCATTGCTTCAGAGAACGCCGACCTAATTTCAGGGTTTCTTTCTGTTTTCAGCCTTATGGGCATCCCAGAATTGCTTGGAACTGACTTCCTTGCCACTGGAAGCACAGAGCTGAGGTGCGAAGGCCTTTGATATGCAGCAGCAGACGGTGTGACAGCATCCTGTTCTAGTGTTGGGGTCACTGGCAATAGCTCAGCGAGCCTGTGCAGGTCCAGGTTACGTGGATCAAGGGCTGGACAGACGAACACCGGCAGGAGGCCTTCCCTCGTCTCCGAGTCAAGAAAGGGGCTAGGATCACACGCTGACCGTGCTGTCACGGCCTGTGCTGTTCATGAGGAATGCAAGGCTGTAAGTCCAGGCGGAGTTCCAAGTTGTGTCCACGGCAGGATCCAGGTTCTGCTGTCTCGCCCTTAATTGTCAGCCTCCAATGACGCCCCCAGCCAGAGATCTGAGGGAAGGCTCTTAATGTTTAAATCGCCGTTTAAATGTGTTCTATTGAAGACAAGCGTGTGGGGTATTAGTGTAGTGGTCCCAGAAGGGTCCCGTCTTATTTTCTGAAGAGAAGAACTGTGAACCCTGAGACCGTCTGGTGTGGTCCAGGGGTGCCTTCCGGAACGGGGACGAGCAAAGAGTCTTTGGGAAGCATTTTGGTGGAATTTCCAATGCGCGCTGTGTGGTGGGAGGGGAGTGAGCTGTCACTGAGCCTCAAGGTCGCTTGCATGGCTCGCCTTGTGATGTGACACTGTGGACCTTCGGTGTCTTAGGAAGGTCTCGGGCACGTACAGCCTCCTGGGGTTTATGTGCCAGAGGAAGGGGAGGCATTGACCTGAGGAAATGAGATCAGACTCAGCCACAGACTTCTCTTCCCCGTGACATCAGTGTGACATAGTTCTAGATTAATCTCCACAAATAGCTGCAAGAAGTTCCTGGCAGCACATTTTTATGACTTGCATTTTTTTCGTGCCTTTCGGTCAAGTTTCAGTTTTCGTTATATTGTGTTCAAGAATCCCTATCAGTAAATTATAGCTAATGACTGTTCCACGTTATTAAAACCAGAGTTTATTTAAAAATCCTGAGTGGGAGGGCTGCATCGCCTTTCACTCCCATTGTGCTACAAAACAAATGAAGCTGCAAACGGCATCCTTAATCTGTTTCTCATTTTGTCTTGAGTTTCTTTGGATATGATCCCCTGACACCACTTTCCATGCAGGCTCATTTATTCCCATTTCAGATGTCCTTCATTGTGAAATAAAGTTGGTTTGACGGCATCGCTTCCAGGCTCTTATGTTGCTTTATTAATTGCTGCAAAGTGGTTGTGTAGAATGATAGATTTTTACTTATTTCATCCACCGCTGCAGGTTTGGACAGAATATTCTCTAGGACTGTTCACTTATTCTAGGTTATGCTCATTTTTCCGGTAAGTTGGTGTTGCCTCCCCTCTCACTTCCATCGGAGCCTCGTCTCCACAGGGAAATAGCAGTCGTATTGTCTGAGCTCTAGTACAGAACTGATATGGGTGGTCCTGTGTTCTATTCCAGTCAAGGGCACATGCCCGGGTTGCGGGCTTGATCCCCAGTAGGGGGTGTGCAAGAGGCAGCCAATGATTCTCTCATCATTGATGTTTCTAGCTCTCCCTCTTCCTCTCTGAAATCAATAAAAATTTATTAAAAAATGTTTCCAAATTTAGAGCTTCCACTGTCGTACTATTTCTTACACTCTTCATCTGGTATATATTTTGTGTATGCATATTGGTTTTGTTCTTAAGCACCTTTTTCTACTTATTGTGGATATAATGAATATTTTACGGATATAATGAATATTTTTTCAGGATCTGGGTGTTAAGGTATTTTTCATAAAACTTAAAGAGTTATATAGTCTCTGTTTCTATGTGGAAACATTTAGGGTAGAGGATGCTGTGGGGACTCCCCATGTGTGAGGTCACCCCTGCCGGGTGGCACTGCCACGCCTGCCGCTGACCTAGTTCCTGAGGAACTGAGCATCTGGCTTCCAGTGACACAGGCCTTGCTCCTCTGGGTTGACGACACAAATGGGTTTCTTTGGGCCCTTCTGCAGAGGGACTTTGGCCTTTGCCGGAGTCTGACACACCTCATGGGGCCTGGCATCTGGCTCGGTGGCTGGCTGGTCGAGGTGGGGACCACTCAGTCTTCCATCCTGGTGTCTGGGCCACAGGGACGGGCTCCTGGACAGCCTTGCACACCAGCCTGCCGGGCAGTGGGTCATCCTCAGGTGGTCACTGAACTGTCCCTGCAGCCCCATGGATGGGAAAGCGCTGTTCAAGGTGCTTGGGAGCCAGAGGACAGTCCGCCCAGTTAGTCACTCAACAAACGCTGTAGGGGTCCCAGTGCCCAGGGCTCAAGGATGGCACAGCCTCCACTCCAGGGCCACAAGCAGACTGTGCCCCATGTATCCAGCGAAGCCCTGTGTTCACGTCACCCACTGCCCTTCGGACCTAGAGATGCCTCCCTCCCCACGGAGCCACGTTCTCCGAGCCTCCTCGTCACAGACTCCCCTGGGTCGTGAAGCCCACCGGGGCCAATCAAGACAAACGACTCACAGTAACCCACACGCTCCCCTCTTCCCACTGTCAGTGGAGCGTGAGCTGCAGTCAGCAGGACGGTAAGTTTCCTCAGCGGCACTGCTGCCCACAGGGTTGTGGGGAGGACTGAAGGAGCTAATCCACATCAACCCAGCATAGTGCCTGGTGCAGAGGAAGTAGCTGATAAATGTTGTCAGAATTATTGTAAAAACCTATTTAAAAGCAGAAACGCAGAGCTGCCGGTGGGGAGGGCCCTGAGAAGAGTGGGCAGCAGTGCTTCTGAGCAGTCAGGACCCGCAGCAGCAGCCCCGGGCCCTCCCCACAGCTGCTGGGCCCGAGATGCTGGAGGGTTTCAGAGAGCTCCCGGGCGGGGCCGGCTCGTTGGGGAAGCCCTGCCCTCGGAGGTGCTTCTGGGTGGGCGCTGATGGCCTGACCAGCTGGCCGGGACCTCAGACAAGCTGGATCACTGAGGACTCCATCTTCCCTGCACATCTCGCTCAGAAAGGCGCCCGTGGTGACAGGTCCTGCCGCACCCCTTCCATCTGGGAGAAGAGCCCAAGTCGCCTCTCCCGAGGACGACTGCTGGGGACGGAGGGTGGCCCCGATGAACCCGGTGTGACTATTCAGTCCCCCAGGTGAGCCTGCACAGGGGGCCTTGCTCTGAAAGTTAGAGAGACCGATGGCCTTAGAGTCCCTGTGGTCAGCAAACTGCGGCTCGCGAGCCACATGCGGCTCTTTGGCCCCTTGAGTGTGGCTCTTCCTAAGCCTTAGGAGTACCCTAATTAAGTTAATAACAATGTACCTTCCTATATAGTTTAAGTTTAAAAAACTTGGCTCTCAAAAGAAATTTCAATCGTTGTACTGTTGATATTGGGTTCTGTTGACTAATGAGTTTGCCGACCACTGGCCTTAGACTAGACGAGCCCCATGACCAGCTCACCTGGGAAGAGGTGAGGGCGCCTGTGCGCAGCCACTCTCACTGAATTTAAGTCAAACTTAGGGAGAGAGCACACTGTGAGAAGGTACCTGGAACTGATGCCCCGATGTGGGTTTCCCTAACAAAGCTCGCTGCTCAGTGCAGAGGATGAAAAGGGCCTCAGTCCTGTAAGCTGAGCGCCCGGGCGAAGCATCTTCAGTGCTGTCTCATCAGAGGGGGGTGAGGGAGTATCTGAAGCATCAACTAATTGACGGGAGACATACAATTACCACCGAGACAGATATAGAGCCTGTTTATTGCGTAACTAGCAGGCACAAATTCCAAAACAATTTTACAACGCTTAAAGGGTTGTACAATAATTACAGGAATAGAATGTACAATACAAATGAAAAGTAAGTGCAGAAGAAGGGGTGACATGGATAAAACACATTTCCATAAAAGGCATTTCAGTATTCCTATGCAGCATTTTTCTTTCGTAAAAACAAGGGCGACCTTCAACCAGGACGAGAAGGAAAATGCTATGTCTGGGAGCGTGCAGCTGCTGTGGGGACCACCAGGCTGCCTTGCTCCTGGCTCCCAGCCTAGAGGGCCGAGGCCCCGGACAGCTCCCGAGTGTGCATTTGCCCGACTGCTCTTTGGCAAATAAGAACCATTTGCATTGAGGCAGAGGTGCCTTCAGTTCCCGGAGCTGGGGGTGGAGCCGCCTCAGCAAGTGCCCGTTGTGTAAGGGCACCTCCGACCTACCGGCTCTGGGGGAGGGGGTTGAGAACAGGGAAAACATGACATTAGGACACAGACATTAGTGCAAGGCTGTGGGACCCGTGTGCAAAAAGTGGTGAGCGTCGTGCAGACACGGGGCGGTCTGCCCCAGGACAGAGCGCCTGCGACGCGGGCCTCACTGAGGCTGAGGCTGAGGCTGAGGCATGGGCGGTCGGAGAAGGAAGCTGGCGGCCCTCCTAGCACCGTGTGTCTTGCCACCTGGAACTCCTTCCTGGAGTTCTGGCGCTGTGGTCAACAGCAAACCCTGCAGTGTTCTTACAACCGAGAACACTGGGCTCCGCGTTCCGGACTTCCTCTGGGGCAGAAACAACGCCCTTCATCGCAGGTCCTTGTGTCCGAGGAAAGACATTGCTGCGCCCATAGCAGACGACTCATTATTCAGAAACCTGTCCTCCGGGGGCCACGGCCACCAGCTCAAGAGCGTGCTGGGCCTTTCCTGAGGACCCAATGCGCCCAGTAGGAGGGCGGGTGTTGGCAGGAAAGAGGGACACTGAGTGTGCAGCATGCAGAGGCGGCTTTCCGACGGGGCTGGAGCTGCAGGTAGGAGCATCCCTCAGCACCGACGGCACTTAGGGTGGCACTTAGGGTGTGCGCATCAGCAAGTGGACGAGTCTTCCGGAGATTGGACCCTTTCCCCAAGCTACTCAGTGACGTGAGGCCGGCAGGAGCATCCACACAGTGACTCAGTCAAGCAAACACCCTCAAGGTGCTCCTTTCATGACAGTTTACGGTCAAGCTATGAAGGTGTTTGTGAATCAAACAGTTCTGTGACAGTGCAGGCATGTTCAGCATGTGTTTAGGCAACTTTGATAATTATGACTTCTCACACGTGTGAAGGAGCACTACGGGACAGAATACATGGGTAAAGCAAGGAAAGGGTGGCCACGTACGGGCACGGCTCACAGGCTAACCCAGGTGGGACTAGGGAAGCCCGACTCACACCCGTTTGCAGGCCCCAGGGCAGAGGCTGTGCGCCGCGGCCTCGAGACCACAGCTCACCCACGTGTGCTGCGAAAATGTCTGCAGGAGTCGCCAGCATTTATAAACAGAGAGATGGCACAAAAACATCCAGATTCCTGGAGTCTCTTGAGAAATAAATGCTCTGGCAACCTCGGATCCACTTTTCCACCTGGCAGCCCGAGTGGAGCTGGGGGCTGCTGTGCCACTGGGTGTGCCCTGGCCTCCCTGATGCCCCTGCCCCGCCCCGCACCTGGCTCACCCCATTCCTCTTCCTCACCGCGGCCTGGCCTCTGGTCTAGGTCAGGTCTGAGGCCCCACACAAAGCGGCTGCAGTCAGCAGGTACAGGAATGTGCTCGGCACTCAGAACAAGAAAGGTCTCTCCAGCGACTGAGGAAACACCTCAGTGTGTCCCAGAGCTCACACCTGTGCTCTTCCATAGCTTTGGGGCAGCTGCTAGTCAGCAGAACACTCTCTAAGGAATTCTTGAAAGCTGATGTCCAATTTTTAAAAACCAGTGCGATAGTGAGAAAGAAATAAACCCAGATGACTGTATACACCTTACCTCACAAGAAGTCCTTAAAGGGAACGAGCTATGCGAAGCAGGTCGCAAGAAGGCTTTACGTGGTCAAAGGAGTGACCGAGTTTCAGATGAGAGAGGTGCCATACAAGGTCCGGGCGCAGAGGGTTTCTCTTCCCGTGTTCACGGTACTGACGGGAGGGGGTGCAGAGGAGCTATGGCCTGGGGCGCTGCTCCTCCCGCTGTCCGCAGGAAGGGAAGTCTGGTTTCCTGTGATAAGGCAGAGCAGTAGACCACGTGTGGTAACACGGCGGTGCCCCTACCAGGGCGTGGCCAAGTGACACACGACGTGGAGGATGAGTGCTTATCTGATGCCACGGAGACTTCAGGATGATAGTAAAATAGAGAAGATCAAGACAGAGAAATTAAAGAACATCTCATGATAGCACAGTGAAAAGAAATGGAGCACTTCATTGTTTCCTTCCAAGAGAGATCGTTATACTATTTTTAGAAAGTGGCA